TGCAAAGGGAATTTCTCCTTGTCCAAGCTAGATAAAATAAGAATTAATGAGAATAAAGTCTCAGAGACTCACATTAGATGGGAGCACAAAATAATTCAGAGAATGAAGCACCGAAATAGACTCCCTAAAAATCAATAGATTCCCTAAAAAGGTTGCAGAATCTCCATCACAGGATCTCCATTGATCCGAAATGGCTTAAATCACTTCTTCCAGCCACAGAAAAAAGGAAGGAACCAGATAGACCAATGGAATTTCCTTCCAGACTGTCTTCTCTGACAACCAGTACTGCAATAATTGGTGATTTTTCAGACTGTTAATTTATTTCTTCATTATAGTATCACTAATCTGTAGCAAACAGGTTTCCACATTTTCCATTTCAAATGTTTGGCTCCCACAAAGAAAACCTGTATATCTGTAATTTTGGCAAAAGACCTACTCAGACAATAATTTCCACTACTCTTTAATCCACTTTTTTTCACTCTACTCTTTCTCTGTACAAAATCTTTCACAGCCTCAAACAGCCACAGAACTCTGATCTTACAAAACTGACCATTTGCATGCGTTCATATAACAAAGTGCCACAGCAAGATGAATATGTGTTGTCCCAATATGCATCATTTTGTTGAACCCTGCTCACCTGCAAAGGATCGTGGATCTGTTCACAAAGCTACCCCAGCTGGCAGAAAAGCACATGATGAGATCGCCAGAAAAAAAAAAAAAGTTTTTTTTCCAGAGGTATATCTGAAATAGAGTGGTTTATTTTGTTTGTCAGTAATCCTAAAATGAAGTCTGAAATTTCAGGGCTTTTATGGGTGCTTTGAACAGTATGAAATGAATTGTATTTGTCAGAATTATATCTGTAAAACTCACATTCATTGAATTTCAGGTAGTGCATATCTGAGCAAAAGACACAGGAGCAAAATAAAGTTCCAAGATGCCCATTGCAAGTTGCAGATTCTGAACCTCTCTCTCTTTGTCAGGCAAAGCACTTAGGAAAAACTTAGTCGTTCATAACCGCATGTTCCAGAGTCTGCTAATCTTGCTCTATAAATGCCATTTTTTGTTAAATACACAGAGAAATTGTTTTTGAAAAGTATTACCCACTTTTCTGGCTCTTTTACTGATCTTCAGGAAAAATATGATCTAAGGATAATAGCCTGATCTTCTGCTCTTTTGTGAATCATTGAAGAATGCCACCATCTTGCCTGTTTCCAGTCTTTAGTTGCTCATGGTTTATTGCACATTTGATATGACAGCAGTTGTTAGGCTACTGGCAACAGTACAAGCAAACTGTGAAAAGCCTTTAGTCTAGCAACAGTGAGCACTTGCTTTATAGTGATCGGCTGTTTCTGTAAGCTATGTAAAAATGTATTTATCTGATTTCAGACAAGCTGGTTAGATCCCATCAAGCTGTAAAATCCTGGCACAGTGACAATGTGTTGGTATTACTTGGTGGAAAGCACCAATTAGCAGTACTTAAGAAAGATGTCTCAATACCCTAATGCTATTCAAGCAAACAAGCAATATAAAACCGTCATCATATTTAATCTCTCTAGCAGAGAGATTAATAGAGAGTTCTAATATCTAATATCAGAAGCCTGCACAAACAGGAAGAATCCACTTGCATCTACACTGGAAAATCAAGAGTCATGTATCTTCCAGACAAACTGTTATGCAAAAGCAAGTTGAAAATTATCTTTGAATCAGGAATGTTGCTGGTCCACACCTTCATAAACCAAGTGAAATCTGAACATCAATCTGAAACTTGTGCCCTGAGTATGAGCTACAATTCAATGACGTACAATGCTATAAGAAAAGATTCATGACCCCAGAAGACTTATATTTTTTCTTCTGTATTTACTGTCAGGATGAAAATGGAAAAAAAAAAGCATAGAAAAGAAATAAAGAAATATAGGTCAGGGTAATCTGAGCAAGCCCAGCGTCCTGCCCAGCAGCATTACCATTCAGATGCTGCTTTTCTCTACAGAGCAGCTGTTGGCATTCTTAACCTTTTTACTGGAAGCAAGTGCATGGAATGCCAAGTTTGTATTTCACTGCTGGAGCAACGTGTATTTCATATGGACATATTCAAATGTCATCAAAACAAGACTCTGGAAAAAAGAGTTTTGCTTTCAAAAATTTCCCAGGAGGATGGTTTAAGACTGGCTGCTTCAAATGATCATGAAATAAACATGTTTGTGATTTGCACAATGCATTTTGTTTCTTCCACTGTTTGCAGAGACCACAAATGCTCCAGGAACTTGGTGCATGTTTAAGGAAACATCTGGTATTGTATGTACAACATCTGCTTGACTCAGTATTGCTCAATAAAATCCACAAAAATAATTTAAAAACTATGTGCAGGGGTAATGAGAAGTGTTCCTTTTGTTATTCCTTTTCAGAAAAAAAAAAAAAGAAATGGCAAATGTAAAAGACAGGACTTAAAGACTTCATAAATATAAAGTTAAGACCAGTTGGAAAACTGAAGAAATATAGCTCAGAGGGGAATGAGAGGAAAGGAGCATCTGGGAGGAAAGAGAGGGAAGGTTGCATGGCTGCTTTTTAATACTTCAGTTGCTATTTCTCATTCTTCTGAATTTCAGGAACATACTTACAAGCACTATAAATTTGGAATTATTTACAAGAATAGAGCAAACCCCTCAGAAACATATTTTGCTGTTTAGAGTGAGTTTCTCTTCCATAAAGAGAGCCATAAAGCCTCCAAGTAATCTAACTGTAGGACTTCTGTGCTTCAGAACAATGATGACAAATATTCCATCCTGCTGGAGTCTTGAGCATCACAGCCTTATTTGGCTACCTGGCTTTGCAATGCTAGCATGCCTGTGTACAAGAACTTTTGAAAACTTAAGCACTGTTTAAGAGCAGTCTCTGTATATATGTTAATCAACTGTGAAATTTGCAGCTGTCTAATAACCTCTAAATAGGCTAAATAGAATCATGTTTATCTCAGGAAGACTCTTTTCTGATGCAAAAGTTGACCTAATATTAGGTCATTAGCTTATATGTTCCTCCTATCAAGAATAAGTGCCTGTCATGTCACTATACCTGAGGTCAAAATGTTGATTTGAAGGGTACAGTGGGAATCCAGTCTTTGTGGGTCTTATTCATGGCAGAAACACTGTGCTGGAAACACCTTTCTTATCTTCAGGGAATTTTTAAGACTTCAAACAGTATAACGTTCTGCACTAGGCCATAGCCATCTTTCAGATGATGCTTCTCTCTAATGAGCAGTCAGACAGAAAGACACCAACACGGATAATAGACTGGTTACAAAGACACTCACTCAAGTTGGGCAAAATCCAACATCAAGCCTGTGCCTGCAGGCTGCTCCAAACTTCTGATTCTGCCAACTCATGCAGCCAATAACAAGATTGTTATGAACTCACTCAGTGAGTTCAAGTTGTCTGTCAGCTTTGGGAAGCTTGAAAAAACACCTGGGAATGATATGCTGCAATCTAAGCTCACTCTGAAAACCCCTCTGACAGGGTTGTGTTGGGGCAACACTGAAAGCAAACTGAGACTCTACAAAACAATTTAATTTCAACGACATGACTAACTCAGAAAAAAAGAACTAAGTATTTTTTTTCTTTCTTTTTTCTTTTTTTGTCTGGCCAGTTCTCTCTACACCCTTTTCCCTTACCTAGTCAAAGGCACTTTGTACAGACACTTTCTCTGGCTCTGCATAACACCTCCTTTGTCACCTTCCAGCGACATTTTCTCTCTTTGCTCTGCAAAACAGTCAGCACGGTCAATGCAGGAAGGAGATATTGGTGAATCGCATTACAACTCCACCCTTGGAATAACAGCCAACCCTTTGCCTTCAGTCATCCACACACATACTTCCCAACCTCACAAATACAGCTGGAAGCAAAGCAAGTAGGGAAGAGTTTTCCTATCCAAGTGTTCAGGAAGATGATTCACAAGCAATGGAAGCAGAGTATGAACTAGGATTGCTGTAATGGCAGCGCAAGAAGTGCTGCGGACAACACAAATGTATATATTTATATTTTTTAACTGTAATAAGCCCACATAAGCTTATGAAGAAAAATTTTGGGGTAATGGTCACTCAAGCCAATTCATAAGTTGATCAAAGTCTTTCTTAAAAGTATTTTTTGTTTTCCCTGCACTTTCATTAAATAGCTATTCCAGAAGCTTCCTGGCAAGAATCTGACTCCTGATTTCCAGGTCAATCTATTCCTAGCAAATTTGTAAATAATTATATGGTGCTGAAATTGCTCTGTAGCATAGGTTGCTTTTTAACTCTCTCTGGTGTTCATCACTGCTGCTACTCACAGAATCACAGAATCACAGAATGGTTGAAGTCAGAAGGGACCTCTAGAGATCATCTAGTCCAACCCCACTGCTCAAGCAGAGACACCTAGAGCACGTGGCACAGGGTGGCATCCAGGTGGGTTTTGAAGAGGTCTAGAGAAGGAGACTCCACAACCTCTCTGGGCAGCCTGTTCCAGGGCTCTGTCACCCTCACAGTAAAGAAGTTCTTCTTCATATGGAGATGGAACTTCCTGTGTTTCAACTTGCAACCATGCCCCCTTGTCCTGTCACTGGCCACCACTGAGAAGAGTTTGGTCCCATCCTCCCTACATTTACCCCTAAGGTACTTGTACATGTTGATCAGATCTCCTCTCAATCTTCTCTTCTGCAGGCTAAAAAGGCCCAGCTCACTTAGTCTTTCCTCATATGGTAGATGCTCCAGTCCCTTAATCATCTTTGTGGCTCTACACTGGACCCTCTGTAGAAGCTCCATGTCCTTCTTGTACTGGGGAGCCCAGAACTGTACCCAGTACTCCAGGGGCGGCCTCACCAGAGCTGAGGAGAGGGGGAGGATCACCTCCCTCGACTTGCAGCCAACACTCCTCCAGAGGCAGGATAGGATCCCATTGGCTTTCTTGGCCATGAGGGCACATACTCCTGGCAATATAGTTAGGAAAAGGGGTTAATGTCCTTTCAGCTTTTGGTTTATTCTACTAACAAGACAAATATTTTCTATCTCTTATTATATGAGAAGAGATTAAAGTAAGTATGAATATAGGGTCTTCATTTTCCATATCATATCAGGAACTGTTCAGATACAGCATGTGAAGAAGTAAACACACAATTCTTTCTTTTTTCTCCTCCACTCCAGTCATTATGGCATCACTACAGTTGTCTTTTAGTGCAGCCAACCCCACATGGCTATATAAATATAACACCAACGCACATAGAACAGCTTGTCTGTATTAAAAGTAATACTTAGTTGACAGCAGTTCACAAATGAAATTGGGGAGTTAAAAAGCAGATGAATTACCAGGGGCCATGAGGAAATGATTTTTTTTTTCAGTTTAACCTCAAACCTCAGTAAATAATCCACAATGTCAAACAGGAAAATCTCGGAACGTACACAACCTACTGGTGTGTCATGTCCCATATGTCATTATCCCATACTATAGCTGTCCAGGATGCAGGGTAGTCTTGTTAGACTGTGGATTTAGTGATTCATAAAGGCAGAAGCTTTAGCCAGAACATAAAAAACATGTTAGTGTTCTTTTCTCTGCTGTTATTCTGCATTCATTACACAAAATATAAAACAAACAAACAAAAAAAACTCTTTTGAAGAAATGATAAACTGTCTTACATAAGGTTTTTGAACTACATACCTCTTGGTGCTATACTGCTTTTTTTTTCTTTCATTTTATTTTAATTCCTGTTTCTAGTTCTTGAAAATGTTCTCTCCTTTTTTTTTCTCTCCTGTCATTATATTCACTTGTAAAGGGCATCTGCAAGTCATTCAGGTTAACAGAAATTTTCTGAGAGTCTTTATACCAATATGCTACTTCAAAATAATATCTCAGAAAACAGTTACAAAGATATATATATTATACTTATTAAGACAAAATTCTGAATTCCTTTTTTTTTCTCAGTGAAAATGGTTTATTTCTGGACTTCCCAAAGCTCATCCTATTTCTTTAGCAGTTTTAACAACCGTATCCATCACTTTTACATTTGGCATTCTAAAAGCCATGGATTGCAGAAACAGCATGAATTCTGGTCTGAGAAAGCATGGGTAGCAGTGATCACAGTTTCAAAGACGGGCAAAGAGTTCCTTTATATGCTGGTTTTATTCCAAATTAGTTATTTCCAGAAAATGACTGGCACAGGAGCTGGACAAAACAATTTTTGCCAAGTTGGAGAAAAGGATGGGGAATCATTTACTTGCAAGTGGCAACAGCTGGAGAAGGCAAAGATCACACTGAATGAAAGATGAGGAGGAGAAGCATGGTCAGGGCTGGGAGGGGGAAAAGATGCATGTTGGATAATAAGCAGGAACCAGGGAAAGAAGGAAGCTGCTGGACAAGAGATGCAGGCAGTGACATGGCTGTACCAAAAAAGCAACCGTTGCCTTCAAATATGGGTTACTTGTGGCTCCTTGTGCCCTCCGGAACACAGTCCCCTAGGGAAGTGCTACCTTTCTGAAGCAAGCCTCTGCCATTTCCTTCTGCTTTCACATTTCATTCCTTTCCCACAAGACAGCTGCCTCTTTGCTATCACTCCGTGTGCCTTTAGATACCACAATTACAAGAAACTATTCACTGCCAAACTGACAGAAGCATGTTTAAAATGCTAGTTAGAGCCTGAAAGTTGTTGACAATATTTTATTTTACAAATAAAACATAGGAAAACAAATACTAGAAGGTGCACAAACATGCTACATGCATTCGCTAATTCACTATGAGCTAAATTGTTTTTAAACTATGTACTGCTTGTAAGATTAAGCTAAATACCACATAGACTGTGATCCAGCTCATAACTGAAGAAAGGAAATGAGGCAAGATTTCTCATACTGTGGAAAGAATTTGAATAAGCAACAGTTTAAACTCACCTTTCCCATAAGTCTGCAGTTAAGCTTTTAAAAATGCCAAGAAAAGAGGGTTTTAAAATCTATTTTTTGTTCTACATTCACGCCGTCCTTTGTTTTTGTTCTTCTTCTCCCCTGTAACAGAAAATGAATCTGAAAGGTGCAACGGTGCTGGAGAGCTAGCTAGTGTCTGTAATCTGAACATAAGTCTTTGAAGGATATCAAATGGTCACATGAAAAGATGTAGAAAATGCCCTTTAGGGAAGACTGGAAAGAAGGGTTGCAAACTGATCTCTTTGGAATCCACTGCTGCACAAAAGTACGCCCCCAGGCATGGAGGAAAAATGTATGCTTAAAATGGAGGAGAAATGTATGCAGAGAAATTAAAACCAATCATCATTTCTGAAGCACATTTTGCATTCTTGGCTGATAAGAATATCCTTCAAATGTTCTTGAGATGATAGAAATGGTATTCACAGCTGTAGTTTTGGTAGTTAGGTACAAATCTGTCAGCTTTTTTTTCACGAAAACAAATAGCAATGGGGAAAAAATACAGAACAGCTGAATAGATGGAAATTACATTCATTGGCTTGTGTGATTGGATTCTGTAGAGCAAAAGGATTCCCAAAAATCTGACTCCTTTATAAAATGTTTTTTCTCAGGCATTCCCCATCTGTCCTCTTTCTTTCCTGAGAGAGCTGAAAGTTCTTCTTGAGAGTCAACAGGTAGTTCTGGGGCATGTCTTGCATATGATAATACTGAAGTGAAGGATGAGGAGGTTGTTAGTTCCAATAGCTTAGATGAAAAGCTTTTTAGCTGATCAAACTGGATATTTTATTCATAACTGATACAGCTCCTGTCTGTGTAAATAAATGTTACACTGCCCGTAGACAAGTATCTGTCATAACTGAAATGCAGGATGAAATGCAGGATTTCGCCCACTAAGAAAATTTCAGAATAAATAAATACCACTTTGGCTTTCGAGCCAAAGGAGTCTTGGAAAGGTATAGTTATGCATACAGGCTTTTCCACTGTTGAGAAATCATTAGTGGTGTAGCCCAAGAATTGATACGGGGGCCAGTTCAGTTGAGCAGCATCCCTGATGGCCTGGATAATGGGACGGAGGGCACCTCAGCATCTTCTGCAGGTGACACAGAACAGGGAGCAGTGGCTAATCCTCTGGAGGGCTGTGCTGCCATTCACAGGGACAGGGACATGCTGGAGAAATGGGCAGACAGGAACATCACAAAGTTCAAGAAAGTCCTGCACCTGACGAGGAATAACTGCAGGCACCGGTAAAATCTGGGGCCTGACTAGATGGAGGACAACTTTGCAGAAGATCTAGGGGTCCTGGTGGACAAGAAGTTGATCGTAAGCCAGCAATATGTCCTTGTGGCAAAGAAGGCCACTTGTACACTGCTTAGCATTAGCAATGAGGCAACACTTGGAGTGCTGCATCCAGCTCCGGACTCCCCAGGACAAGAAAGACACTGACACACACGAGTGAGCCCAGCAAACAGCCCTGAAGATGGTAAAGGGAATGGGGCATCTCTCATATGAGGAGAAGCTGAGAGAGCTGGGACAATTCAGCACGGAGAAGAATAGGGAAAGGGGGATCTTATCAGAGGATATAAATACTTCAAGGGGATGAGTAAAGAGATAAAGTCAGTCTCTTCCCAGTGGTACTCAATGAAAGGAGAAAAGGCAATAGGCACAAACTGAAAGATAGGAAATTCTCATTAAGTATATTATATATATATATATTTTTTTTTTTCTGTAAGAGTAAATATGTTGCCCAGAGAGGTTTTGGAGTCTCCATACATACATACTTGGAACTATTCAAAACTCAACTGTATATGGCCCTGAGAAACTCACTTGCTTTGAGTGGGAGAGTTGCACTTCATGATTCCCAGAGGCCCCTTCCAACTTCAATCACTCTGTGATTCTCTGGTTCTCCAGGGTAGTGTTTTAGGGTCCACTGTGTTTGCAATGCTGTAGCATATACATTAAGATTATCATGTTACGGATAATTTCTGCTTTTTCTTCTGTCTTACGCTGTTGGTAGCCCTTGTACACATTCAGAGATCCACCTGAATACCCTGCCTGAAACATGCTGAAAAGAACATAGGTTGCTGAAGGGCAGAATCAGGAGAAATGCTGTTAAATTTGGCCTTCATGGAAATGAAAGGACTCAACATTGACTTAGCATGCTCCCACCAAGCTGAGGAGCCTAACGCCAGCCCTACAGGCATACAGCCATGCAAAAAAATTAAAAAGGCCTCAGTTGTCTTTTCCATATGCCTTGCACAGATGCAGTTGCTGTGGTTGATATAATTGTCTGCAAACTGTTATCTTGGCTGAAGTCACAATATAGTCAAAACTCGCTTGTCCAGCCGTGGATCTTGACAGATTGTTTTTTAAAGCATCTGCTGCTGTTATTGTGACCGTAACATCTGCCACAGAAAGGGCAGTTGCTCCCTCTGTTAGCCAGCAACGTGACTCAGCAGTAAGAAAGGAGCCAGACAGCAAACAAAACGCAGCAAGTTTGCTTTTCCTCAGAGAGGCGCTGGGAAAGTGGAGTCCTCTGCTCCCCAGCCACATTTCTCTCACGCAGAGTAAGACCTGGAGCCAGCCTCAGGAAGCACTTGCTCTCCTTCCAGCTTCCAAACTGTTATAGACGCCGTGACTCACCTTTGTTCCTTAGTGCTTCCCGTACAGCAGGCAGTTTGGTTTTCATGTCACATCATGAAATCTTCTTATTAGACAGGTGAAAGTAATTTCACTCCTCAGCAAAAACTCCTGCTCTGCTCACTTTTCATGTCTGGCTGATCCAAAACCCAAATTTGTCCCAAATCCTAACCCTGAGTGATACCACATCAAGTTTTTCCTGCAGCTTTCGGTCATCTGAGGACACACATGTTTGCCTCCTAGGACTGGGAAGGATTCAACTTTCCTACTATTTCCAGACTACGGGAAGGAAAATTATTTCAGGCTGTTGCCACTTCCCCCTTCCCTGAGAAAATAAGATGGCGCAGGGAAAAGCTGCTTCACTGGGAGGAGGCAGCCACTTCTGAAGCCCTGCTCTTCCCAGGACATCATCATCAGCTCCAGAGGCAGGACAGATTTGCCTGCTGTAAAGAGCTCTTCATAGCTGTTCATCTCCAGGCAGGAACAGTCCCACGCTGCAGAGTCTGCACAGTCAGGGTGGAAAAATCGGCATTTCTAAACACAGTTGCACATTTTGCATATGAAAAATCTCATCTCTTTACATGTAAATATTGCAGGACTAGTGTGGAAATTCATTGGAAAAATTAGTCTTTTTTATATCTATTAATATTTTACTATTTTTCTGGGGGGGGAGTGGGGTTGAACACCCAAGAAAGGAGTCAAGGATATTCTGTGCCATTTAAATATCTGTACTCAGATTTGGATGTAGCTTTTGCTGACAAAAATAACAGCAGACTCTGTAATAAGTAAGCAAAAACATATGTTTATGTTTTATACTGGTGATGGTGTCTGATGGCTGGGGCGTGGTGCTAGGGAAACACAATAGACCTTGGTAAAAAATTTCTATTAGGCCTTCTGGTTATTAACCTTCTTCTGATTGCAGGACTTTCTGGAACAAGGTAGGCTGTATTTCCTTGGTCTGTTTTCCTCAATTCTTTTCTTCTATTACTTGCTTTGCCACAGAGACAAAACTAGCCATAGGTAATGCTAAATTTCTGTATTTACTTGCAACTTTAGTTTTAATACTCAAAAACCCGAAAAAATCAGGATAAACCAGGGAAACAGATACTTCTGAGTTCAGGTTTTTTCAATTACTATAGTAGATTCAGTTTTTCAGCTTCCATTATGGTCAAGATAAAACCACATTTTACAAAATTTCTAATTTTAATTCTCACACATAATGTGGTCATGAGAGCTGGAACTCAACAATATCTGTTTATAATCAGCAAACCATCTTACATTTATTCTACTCCAGCTTGAAACTTAGGTCTTTCAAAACTGGCTGAAAAATACAGGTTAAAAAAGGGAGGTGGGGCTTGTCATTTTTGGAAAGTTACACAGCTCTAATTCTGCAATACAAGGTGTGGGCCAGTTCGTTCCCATAATCATCATTCTATCAATCAGCCTGATCTTTTGCAGTCATTAGGAGTCACCAAATCCAGATCTATTACAACAATTATTGTTTCACAGTAATTATACAACCTGCTATCTAGAAACAAATCCTTTTGATGGCCATCTATCATTTTTTGCCTTTTCAGTGAAAGAATTTCAGATATGGTCTTTGCTAAGTACTTAACTGGGGATACAGGTTTGAGTATTTTTTTTGCACTAGTGTAGATGCTCAGCATGATGCTTGGCATACACACTCTATTTGGAAACACCAGACACAGGAATAAATGGGAGTATTCTTAATATCGTTCGTTTGCTGCAAGATTTCTCTGGCTACATGGCAAACTACACATGATGATAGACTCCAGTACCAATTCTCCCAATCTCCACTACCAGTACTCACATAAATAAGCAAGGGAAAGGAGAAAAACTTTCCCCACAATTTTCCATCAAATCCAGACATGTTTAAACTCAGTCAATGACTTGACTCACTTGTTGAACTTAGCAGTGAGGGGAAAAAAAATATTCCCATGGTTGTTCCTGTAAATAACAGAAAATGTTACAGTTTTAAGGAGGTCTGTGAGACCACAAGATCAGCTAACAGCGGGACATAACAAGCCTGGGAAGAAGGGTACAGAGCACAATACTGCCCAGAGCAATTTTTATCACAGTTCATGTCACCAAAGCTCTATGATGCAGCACACAGAACTGGTCCTGGAAAAGCTGGAGACTCTTCCATACAAAGACACAGAAGCAAGAAGTCAGGGCCAAGGGAAGAATACAGGGCTAAGAAACAAGTCCTTTGTTTACATGAAATTTTAGTTATTCCCCTGTGCAATCTCTAGACTTCCATCTCTAAATGACCCACTGTGCTTGTAAAAGGTAGATAGTAGTGATAGTTGAATGAATAGTATGGGAAATAACCATGACTCTGTCAAGAACACCTTCACGTTTATTTTCTCAGAAAAATTGCAGCTTCTGACTCCATTAGCGGAAAAGTATATAAAAAGAGGAATTTTTTTTAAAGTCAGCTTCACAAGAGGTTAATTTGGAACTATACACTTAATTTTAATGCTCAGAATTATTCATATTACCATAGCATCAAGGATCCTAATTAACCAAAGATTCGAATCTTGATGCAAATTCTCTTTGTCTTACATCCTGATGTAAGATAAATATTAACCTGCCTTTCAAATGTATGCAGGCACACTGCTCATCTCGGGGAAAAAAATCCAGTTTCCTTCTAATGTTTATCCTCTGAAAGAGACATATTTCCTTCAGTCCACAATTGGCTACAAGTTCAAACACTCAGACATGTTTCTTTAAAACACCTTCAACGTGCACATAGATCAGACCTGCGGTCATTGCCTGGTGCTGTGTTCACACCTGTACTGAGCAGCACCTGCAATGGAGAAAACCAGCTCAACATTCAGTTATCACGTGGCATTTCTGTAGCAGCAGCATTTGGGAATTTCCACTGCCTTGTCCTATTTACCTGCCCCTAATTTGCAACCCACACAGTTTCACTCAGAAATTCTTTTTGTATAAAGTCATTACGGAAAGGATCACTGACCATTTTTTACATGGCACCGCTAATTTTGTACACCCATCTGATGTTCGAGTATTTAAAAATAAACGCAAATATTTTGGACACTACCAGGCACTTGGAAATGTTTGCAAATACAGATAAATACCTGGACAACATCCCTCTAGCTACGGGGATTGTTTTTTACTTCTTGTTATGCAGAACAATTGAAGATTTCTGAAGAGTACAGAATGTGGCTCATTCATTCTATGTCACTGAAGGTATTACTAGCTTTATGAATTTACCCACATGGAAAACAGAGTGGATAATCTCAGAAGAGACTTCCACTATATACAGACTTTTTGAGCGCCTGAGTGTTTTAAATATAAATGTTTTAAATAGCAGTTTTCAAGTTAATTAACAGCAGGTGAAAGAGAAATTCAGAGCATTTCAGGATATACCAGTGTTAGATAACCATTACTTCACAGATATAAACAAATGAAAAAACACACACATTCCTCCTAAAATGCTTCTCTTTGCAGCTCAATTACAGAAATATTTTCTTTACAAATTACAATTCTGGGGTCTTTCTACCAGAAAACAGGACATGCCACTTTTGCAGTGTTTTTGTTGTTGTTGTTGTTGTTATTGTTTTGTTTTTTCCAAACCATGAATATTGAAATATTGTTTGTCTTGAAAACTTGGCTTATCAATGAGGATTTTCATGATTGTTATTCCGTTGGCAAAAAACAGAATGGGTAACCAAAGAATAAGAACTTGAAAAAACGGAATTAGGTGTTGTGTGTTTTCTTACAGAAGAGCTGTTGTCACATTTCCTGCATACTTAAGCAAAGAAAAAGCTATTTTTTCAGATTTACTTTTTTCCAAGTACTGACACGTTTCAGTTAACATCAGTCTCAAATGTTGGCAAAAATGTCTTTAGCTGTAAGATCTCAGAGACAGGTTCCTGTCTTTCCTGGTAAAAGTCAAGCCCAGTGAGAAGTTCCACATCTCGGACACGAGCAACATGAGCCTGAACTCTTTCTTCAACCCATTCAGAAGGCTGCTTATTTTCCTGCCAAGAAAAACAGGAGCAATGTTAAAATACTGATTATTGTTTAACACCAGCACCAAACAATAGAGTGCATTAATGGCATTAAAAGCCTTTAGTTTATATAATTTACTTCCTTTTTTTTTCCTAGACATCTTTGCAGCCTTGCATTGGGGGAGCTCATTTAGGTAAGAGCCAGACGGATGCCCCCTCTCCCTACCTACCCCGCCACAGACCCGGCCTCCTGTCAGACCTGCTCCCTGTCAGCTACATTTCACGGCAACTGTCTTGGGAGACTAGTAGGATCCAAACATGAAAGTTCTCACATAAATGTAACACCAAACCCAATTTCCAAGTAAAATAATATATTCAAAGAAGGGACTATAAGTAATCTGAGGCAACAGAGAAGCAAAATACTGCTTAAATGATAGGCATGACTTCTAATAAATTGTTAACTAATTAATTGCTAAGTACAGTTGAGTCATATTTTAAATACACAAGTCAGGACAGTTACAGTTACTGTATAAATTAATGACTGTACTCAGGCTAGCTAAACAACTGGCATCTGTCAACCTGAGCAAAGTCCTTAGAGCTGCTCCGTCTTTATTGTTGGACAGCAAAAATTGTTGCAAGACAGACACAGACTTAACATCTCTCCAAAAAGAAAAAGGAAAAAAAAAAAGCCCTGTAAACATCACCACTAACAAATTAGAATGCTGCTCTTTTAGTGTTTTACTACAATAATTGCTTTGCATGCAGATTGTAATTTGCTCTTCTGTTGCCAGGATCTGCTTTGGACACAACACAAGTATTTCACTAAATTTAACCTATCACAGCTCACAATGAACAGTAAGAGGTACAAAGATGCTTGAGGTGTTTATTGCTAAGCTTTAGAGATAACAGACGTTAATGGCTAAAGAATCAAGACAAACTCCTGATTATTTCTAATTATTTATTTTGCACTTTCAGTCAACTCTCAGCTTGCTACAATTCCTTGTGCAGCTGTGGATTAGCCATGCAACAAATGCAGGCCCAGGTTGCTTCTGAAGAGGCATCTTGCGCCTGTCTGGAGTTGGGAGTTCAGGCAGTCACAGACAACTCAACACAACTGTACTGCTTCGAGGGCCAGTTCCAGTCTGTACAGTTACATCTGCCTATGGGAAATTGTAATGAAAGGAAGCTTCTGCGCCCTAGAGCTTGGTGCAAGGACACCCACTTGGCTCAACAATACATGAGAGACTAGGCCAATTTATTTCTTTTGTGTCCTTGCTATAAAAGATGAGATTTACACCGTTACTGGAAAGCTTCCCTTTTACTTAAAATATGCATTTTTTTTTCTGTAAATGGTGAATGTCAACTGTGAAGAGGAGCAAATTAATCAAGTCCTAGAAATCTAAAGATTCTCCCACCTGGAATCACAGTTCACAAAGCCCACTTGCCCAAGGAGCAGGACATGATACTTACAGCACAGCTTTCAGTGTTGTCAGGTCGATGGGGAAGGATAAACGACAAAACGTCCAGGGAGCCTGAACAGTTCAGTGGAGTAAAAGACAGATTCTTGCAGCTAGTCAGAACCACAAAGTAATGGGTTGGGACTGGGATTTGTGTATTATTTACATGCCTATAAAACAAAAATTAGGGGATTTATTTAGTAATAAAATACAAAAACACTGTTGCCATTGGTATTTCATAGAACACATCTCACCACAGTTCCTTCACTATTATATGACTTCTGTTTATTTTCTAACTGAAATAAATATCTGATAGGACAGACAGTCTCACTGTACATTTCATGAGCAGCCAAATATGCACACATTAGTACTTTTTCTGCAGGTGGTCCCATTTAAATCAACAGGTCTGCTGATGTGGTCTATATTCCATTTTGCCAAAACTAAAAAAATTCACATCTAGAAGGGGCAAGTTGGAGCACTTTAAGTGTCCTTTGCTACATTAAGAATTTCAATTATATGAAACTGATTTGAAGAAGGAAGAGAAAATTAGCTCCTGGTTCGGGGTTCATAAGAAATACCAGAAGGATGACGTGTGGTTATGTGCTATAGAAAACCAGCTTAGGATATGTGATTCAAAATGTCTTTGCCTCCATATTATGGCCACTAGTATGCTCCCTTTTCTGCCTAAACACATGAAGAGCTGAACACCTCCCAGATTTGCTGTATGTCTTCAATATTTAACTAAACAACATCACTGAAACCATTATATGACTTAGTATGACTAACAGTGCTGAATAAAACATGCTTGTTCAAAACTGTAGACAACATTATGTGGTTGAGTGGGCATTACAGGATTTTGCTTGGAAAGAAGCTCTAGTCTCTCATCCCTTCCACCTTCCTGCTTCGTGGCAGAGCTGACTTTACCATTCTCAAACCATCTTTGACAGATGTGGTATTAAGTTGAGCCTTGGATATAAAATCTCCAGTGACAACAGTTAGCTGTGCAGATTTCCCAGCACTTGCCCTTCTACATAAGCATTCTTACTGCCAAAACGCATTTTCCCTATATTTGGAAGAGTCTAAGTTGTTGTCTGCTCTTATTCTGTTTTGTTCCTCCTCCTATCCTCAATGGCTAAGATGATACTTGGTCCTTATCATTTATATTTGTCCTTTACATAATTCTGATTTATATATGTCCTCCTTTAGTCCTTTTTCTACACACAGATGAATTTTTAAATGTGTTTTGTTATGCTACCAGAGCTCAATAAGATGTAGCTAGAGTTTGTCAGATTCCCAAACAACCTGTACCATAGCTATGTAAAGGTCCTATTCAGAAATATTACCTGCCTAGGTTACATGATTTAGTGAATATATTAAACACAGAATTCTGGCTTTGACAAAACAAATCAATTTGAGACAACAGGGAGGAACAACAAATGGGTGAGCGAACACATATTTCCCACATAAAAGTGGGAAAGCTATGATTACATACATTTTCTGCATATTTAGATGCATCCTATATTATTCTAGTATTTCTACTGCGGAGGCCCAAAGGACTGGGCATAAACCTGGAGAATAAAATGGTATCACAGTATATGTCCATGTATATGCATGTGCACACACATGTGACTGGAACTTCCAAACTAGAATTTCTAAAACGCTGTATCTACTTACAAGAGCATTTGCTTTTGCATGAAGACTGCTATTTTTTTTTTTAAATGAATGGCTGGGGGATTATAAACACAAGAGTCAACACTCCTTCGTATTTGTTTTTTGTTCTTTTTGAAGAAAAGATTGTCCGCATGGAAATAAAGTGCAAAATAATCTGGAGTTTGACCTCTGGCATTTCCTTGTACTTACAGTGTAATTTCATGAAGACTGTCAAAATGACCATCATAATTGTAATCAAACACTGGTCCGCTGATAACATTTATTCCATTCCTTTCTCTAGCATACTTTTGAAGTAGGACATTATGAAAATAGTCCCATAACTCTGTCATTGAAAGAAAACATAAGCATAATTAACACAATTTTGAAGCTATTTCACTACTAAAGGCAAAGAACCTATTCCTTTTTTGTTGTAGATAAAGTTTCCAAGCTAAACTGTCTAAAATAATTTTTTGTTACATACTATTTAAATTTCTGTAGAAGGGACATACTCTTATTCACCATTGACGCTACTATACTTGTGTAGGCCTCTCTTGCACTCCTGGAGATGTACATTCAATCTGAAGCTGAAGCCTACAACTCTAGATCTAAAAAGTCATTCATTTCTGGCATACTTGCTAGCCCTGACAACTGTGACAGGTAGCACAAACTGAGATGGTGGCTCTGTGGAAGGAGTATCTGAGAGCTACTAATCTGAGAGTAATCTTAAATCCACAGAATTCATGTCAAATATTAGTGTGCCATTTGACTTATTTCACAGATGTTATCTGGCCAAATAAATACAAATCGTAGGACAAAACCTATTGAGATTAGATGAATAGTGGCAAAAAAAGAACAAATGCTTGGGGGAGTTCCTTATCAATACCCTGGGTTTATGGTCTAAATAACCTCTGGTAAGTCTTAAATGTCTTGTACAGTTTTCTCTGAAAAGCTGTTTGGATCTCCCATAATTTCTTTCATTTACTCGGAAGATTCAAGACACTTATATTTTTGGTATCTCTGTTTTTTACATGCCAAGTTAGTGAATAAATGAGGAACGCCATAGAAAAGCAGTAGCTACATCATTGCTTTTCCCTCAGCTTTTAGCTTCAGCAGGCTCTATCCTTTGGCTAAGGAAATAAGCACAGGCTTAACTAAATGTAGTAACAGGACTACATGTAGAAAAATTATCCATGATTATTAACGAATGTGAGTCAAGTTGGATGCGGTCAGTGTAGCTCACTGCACTTGCAAAACAGAAACATCTGTCTGAGAAACATTCCAAGATGAGCATTCTCGGTCTTAAGTTTGTACTTGATGAATCAAACATAGTATCTGAGTACTGTTTGCACACTTCATCCTGTCTTACTGGGAGACCTTACAAAAGGAGAGAGAAAGTGCAGTCTTCATTCATCTTGGGCATTTCCCCAGTGGCATCATTTTATGAATTCTGTAGCTAGCATTTCCTACTAGGACAGTGCAAATAAGATGAAGAAAACATTCCAAAGTGAGCAGTACACCTACAAAAAGTTCAAACAGAACTATACACAGAAAAATATGACTTACAGGAGACTGTTTTAAGATTTCACACATCTAATTAGAAAGATCCCTTTAAAGATTTTTCAGAAGATTTGGAAACACTGTTATTAATGTTTGGTATTCATGTTTTGAGATCATTGCTCTATATACTGTATAAAGTGTAGAACAGTTTCAAAAACTACAGAATATATTAATCAAAACCTTGGAACTTACCTTGGAATGCTGTGTACATGGGAACTATATTGCTGGTGAGTAAAGCATCATATTGTTCAAGACCAGATGAGTTGAAGTCTATATACACACATATGAAAGAACAAAGTATACCTTAATAAAGTACACAAAGTACACAAAGACAAATTTGAAACATATGTCACTGCGAATTGCAGGTATATCTGATTCAGCTTCACATTTCTTAACATTTCAATGTGCTTTTAGTCTGTGGAAGATAGAAGGCAAAAACGCTTGAAGCCATTTACAAAGCCACATTCATGTCTACAGGATATTGTGTTGGACTGAAGGCTTCTTTCATCATGCTGACAGATTCAAACAGGCATAAACAACACATTTCCTCACATGCAATATCTCAGAGAGTTTCATCATGCTGACAGATTCAAACAGGGATAAACAACACATTTGCTCACATGCAATATCTCAGAGAGGATTTTGGTTTATGGACTAAGTTAGAAAGGAACTATCAGATCATTAGATCACTATTTATCACCTACTGTCCTTTCAAGGTTATTCAGTGTTAACGAGATGTGTTTTCTTTTGATTCATTTGTGTCAGGACACTATCCAATTTGACATAAGGAAACAGATATAGAAGAAGAGAGACAGCCCTCACCTCTATTTCTTTACATCTTTCCAACCAATTTTTCTTAAATTCCAGTTGTTGCATTTTTGAGGGAAAAACCTAAATGTTCTAAACTGAAAATACTTAAATAAAAGCAGCAGCAGTCTTGCTTTTGGTCAGTCTATAAACACTGGAAACCTTTTTCTGCCCGACATGCTGATCCCAAGAAGTTTGTTTTGGTGTTTGGGTATATGTTTAAACATAAACCCACATCCAGCTGATGAAGACTTTCTAAGCTCTGGCTATAAAAAGAACTATACTCACTGGGAGGATAGAGGAAACCACGAGTGAAGTTCAGCCCTTCTGGGTAGTCAGAACAATTTTGGCTCTGAGCAACAGGGATTCTAACATCAGCCCGCAGACAGTCTGAAACAGTGGGAGGAAGCGAAGACGTGTTTTCCTGTGAAAAGGGAAAAAAAAAGTATTACACCCACGGCTGTGGCCAGCTTAATGCTCTGTATGGTTTTAACTTTCTAGAATGGCCTTCACTGCATCTTCTTATTTTCATTATGAATCAGGTCAATGCAAGTAATGGACAGTAATGTTTTCTGCCTAGGGTTTTTCCTTTACATCTGTTTTTAGGTAGTTCAGGGAAATCCCTATGCCGCATGCAAAATTCTAGTTGTAAATGTAAAGCCTCAGGCCAAAACAGGTGACAAATTTGGCTCATTCATGACTTCCTGGAAATAGAAATTTGATTTCACATTGCCTTGCCAATAAATGATCTGAGAACGGTCTCTCAAAAAAACGAGTCTGTGCCTCTGAAGCGTTAAAAAAAAAATTGTAGGAGATTCAGTATATTTTACTGGCTTGATTCATTAACTTCAGTAGAGCTATGTTCACATTAGCTAAGAAATGGCCAAAAATGACTCTGATTAGTATAAATGTTTCTATGAATCTCATATTTTATGATACTAGAACATCAGAACATATTTTTTGTGTATGTGTGTTTAGCTGAACTTTATTTTTCACATTCATTTAAATGTTATTTATTTTCCTTTGGCAAAACTGGAACATATATTCTGATTTTTATCTTCATAAACAGCAGTTAAACATCTAAATAGAAATTTAGCACATTGTCTATTTTAGTTGGTTAAAGCGATTGGAAAAAAACACTTAACATTCTCCTTGTGCCTTTTCGTACTGTTTAATTTACTTTCTTTATAACTTTTATGAGAGTTTCTATATGCCCGTATTATGTTCAAGTTACATATTAATGGAATTAATATTTACATTTTCAAAAAACGCTCACACATTTAGGTTGTTCAGAGCTGTTTCCAGTGGACATCGCAGGAGAAGACTTGAGAATTTGTAATGAACCTACAAACTCACATAATTATTGGAAAGCAACCGCTCCAAATGTCTATGCTTGTTTTTTCTAGAATCTACAAGTAAGTCAACAGTATCAAAAGCTGCTAATAGCTGAGCATGGCCATATCTATGTGCACCTTTTAGTACCATCAGTTCAACAGTTAATGCAACCCAAGAACGCAAACCATATCACTAATGGTCCACACACTAACACACTCTCTCTGGAATGACCTACTCATTTCTTTTCCTCAAAAGAGAGGAATAAGCTATTTTTAAAAAGATAATATACTGAAAAGGATAGAAGAAAAAAATCTCAAATAAGCTGTTGAAAATGATGATTAAGAAATGGGACCTTGACACTGATAACTGCTATGTCTCAAGACTTCAGAATCAGACAACAAATTTCAGCACATGCTCAACATCTTTAGCCATTGGTTCCTTGTCTTTCTGGTTACAAAACCACAATGTCTTCTACAGAAGATAGCTAACAACTACCACATCATGCATTATGTTTTCTGATGCAGATTTCTTTTTAACAGCTGGTAATTAATGTCAAGAAATGTGAGTTATTTGCACTACATGACAGAATTGAAGTAGCTGCTGTGGTCTGTCATGTCAACTTCAGCCACTTCCAGGAATCTTTTTTGGTAATCAAGAAGAAAAAATAACGAACCACAAAAAACAAAATTCCCATAACCCAAATGCACTGAGTTTTAGTTCCAAAAATCTCAGTGATTTAGACAAGTCTCATTGCTGTTTTTGTCCCACTGCAGTACAGATTAGACTACTTATGAATGAGTTTCAAAAGCTAAGTTAATTTACATTTTTATACTAAAGTTAGAAATTCTTACATGTAATTTTCTTTAACCATAAAAATGCTCCATATGCATAAACAGAACAAAATGTTGAAAGCTTAGAAAAGCAAATGAAACTGCAGTTCAAGTGTACAAAGTGACACTTCTTTGTTCACAAGCTACTATAGATAGCAAACCAGTTTTAAATTCCACAAGCGTGGAATTTTGAATTCCACTGGCAGATGTAGTTGTTAACTTTTTGCAAGAAAATCTGCCTCCCACCCTGTCAGATGGGGAAAATAAATGTCTTTCAATCTTAGTGGGTATCCCCACTATCCCTAATTACAACATCACAAGCAGACGCAATCAATAATCTTGCATTGCCTTGATCAGCCAGCCTAGTTTTAAAATGTACACACAAAGCCAGCAAAATTCAAGCCTTTATCACTACTTTTACAGTCTGAGCCCTTTCTGTAGTGGGCAGCTACCCACTTATCAGGAATTATCTCATCTTAGAAGTCATGAAGTCATCCATCGCACAGGCTTTATCCACAACAGAAGCAACCTAGGATGCATTAACAATTTTGCAGAAATTTCAGGCTTCTGTCATTCCCACAAAACTTATAAAGACAGTGGCTTTAGTTCTTTGTCCTGCCACTATTTTCATAACTTATGAAGCTTTCCCTCTTGAATGCTATATAATTGAAAAAAACAATTATTTTAGAAAGAAACTTTCTATACTAACATTTTAACAGCAAATATTTTGATTAGAATAATTTTTCCATATTAGTACTGTTATAAAATGTTGTCTTACAATGTTAAGAACATGAAAAATATGGACATAAAAATACATTTCTCTTTAGAAAGGAAAAACAGTGTAGAAGGTATTTCCCCAGGGAAATTTATGAAAAAAAAGTCAAATTATAGGAAGAAGCAAGTTTGTTAATGTCCATTAGTTTACTGACCCTGGGAATCTCAAAAAAATTTACATATCCTTGAACTCTCTGATCTTTCAGCTATGATTATATCATTCCGAAATTTTATAACGTAATAGTGAGAAAATAAACAGAATGTACAGAAAAATGAATTAGTACAAACTGTCTTGAAGGACGGTATATATTTGGAAGGTTTACTGCTGGGAAAAAAATCATAGTATTTACAGGAAAACTTAAAAGCTTCTGGCTTTGGAAAACATAGCTTGATTTTCCTTAGCAATTGACAGGCAAGTTGGAGCACTATGTTGACAGCTTACCAACTTACAAAACAGCCTTAACAGAAACAGCTTAACAGGAGCTCTGTTCTTTTATGTCTTTTGCATCCCTAACAGAGGGCCTTTTCCTCCTTTTTTTAGAAAAAAAATAGAATATTTGAATTTTAAAAGATACTAAAGATAGTTTTTTTCCTATTCAGAAAAAAAAGAAGTCTGAGTCACATGACACCTATTAATCTATAAGCAGAATTCCCGGTGAACAATCCACATGTCCAATCCATTATATTACATGTTTAAGAATGGTATAGGTAACTCATAACCTACCTGGTTATTCACAGTGTATGCAGTCCACAGTGGCATCCAGATGTTGTAACTGTATCCACTCACATACCCATGATGAGAAAGCAGGCAGTAGGTGTTTTCCTTCTGAAGAACTCTGGGTCTCCCATATGGCAAATTATGGGAGTTTGTCTCCTTTACTAGAATTTAAAGAATTGATGAGCTCTTCTAGAGCATTTTTGATGGCCCAAATGTTTAAGCAAGGAGAGGTAAAGTATAAATATATACACGAATAGAAATTGACACTAAACATGAGCATGTGTTTATTTAAGATTTTTGCTTCTGAGTGGAATAAAAATGTAGAAAAAGCTTCCATGTTATTTTTAATGTGCTGAAATCAATATAGTATGACACAAGACACACAAATTCCCAATTATTTGCAATTGCATTTTGATATATTTCTTTTGAAGTTACTTTGTCAGTGGATTGAAAATTAAGTCTTAGTTGGCTAGGAAGCACTATAACGCTTCCTAAAACTACAAAAGATGCCACCCTTCACCCACATTAAAAAAAAGCACACAGAAATATCTATGGGAGCTTGTGACCAGAGAAAGTCAAACTGTTGTTTGCCAGGTGGGGAACAACAGGTATGGCACAGTCCAGAAGTGCTCAGGCTGGATCCAAAGTCCAGTGAAACTGGTGCATTTCTTCTCAAGATTTTAATGAGATTTGGATCCAGTTCCTGTGCAGAAATTTTCTTATAAAAGTATCCATTAGCATCTTTTAAAGAGATGCTAGATAAAAATAATGCCTTTTAATTGACTTGCCTACTTCACTTTAAATTGCAATTCTCAGTGAATCTAGTAACACAGAACCTTAAACACGCATAGATTGAAAATGATTGCTGTCCCATTCACTTCTTACTACTTACTTTCTTCTGTGGTGAGATTTAACCTCTTGTTTAGTTCTGAAACGTTTGATACCTGCAAAATTTTAGAGAAGCATTCATGGGAATCTCCGGTTTAGAATAATCAAGGAAAAGAGAAAACACTTGACAAAGATGGTTAAAAGATCCAAGAAGACCCCACTTACTCCATTGCATGTGCATCCTAAATCGCTTGGAGAATTCAGATTGACAACTGGACATGAAGAAGGAGCTGACTCTTCTTCGGCATGTAAAGGATTGTAAAAAGGTTTTTTCAGAAGGTGATTTAAGCTGCCATGTGTGCCATTATTCGGTGCTGGTGTAATATGCAGCAGATCTATTGGAACATTTTTGAAATTTGGAAATTGAATAGAAAAAGATTTAAACAGTTCGTAAAGATACATTACAACTAAAATGGCATTTTTAAAAGACATTATCTTTCCTTTTTTATGCAGCTCCTATGCATTTATTCTAAACAGAAAAAACAAAACAGTTTATTGAATTATCTAAACTATTATGGTAGCTACCAACAATGTGCAGTCTTAGAGGTATGAAGGTCCCAACACATCAAGATTTGGTAATCTATGCATCTGAGTAATGTAAAACCAGCTTTATACAGAGCTATACCATAAAGAAGTCTAGGCGGTTTTATGCAGTTATGAAGTTACACAGGTGTGATTGCAGGAGATGAAGGTTTCATATCATGAAGCATGCTAGCATATTGCATTTTTGTGCAAAGCTTTAAGGCACATATCTCCATACTGCTCAGCACAACTGCAGTGGTGCAGCTCAAGTTCTGAGCAACAGTTTTAAGGCTCTACAGGTTTTTGTCCTAAAATGATCCCACAGGCAGTGTTTCAACAGCAAGTCCATGTGGCAGAAACACTTTCCTCGCTGCTTCTTCATCAGACTCCTTCTGCAGCCAAGCAACAACCTTGAAATCAGAGCAATTTCTGGTAGTTCATCTTTGAACACTATGCAGAAAGCTAGACTGCAGCAGGA